TTAGTTACATAGGTGAAAAGATGTATAATAATGAGGTTAAGTTTGTAATTATTATATTACCTGTGAGGTTGAATACAGTTGACGATTTGTTAGCCATTCAGTGTTTCTCTGTTTAAAAATGTCTCTACAATTCTTCTGTTTTATATAGTGGTGTCAGTGCAGCCACTTATTTTTTATTTTTTAATTGAATCCTTTGAAAGAGGAAATTGCTTTTCTTTCTTTCTTTCTTTTTTTTTTTTTTAACCAAAAATTGAATGTCAAGTCATTCTTTGTATGTAGATGTATTTGTGGGGATTATATGTTGTTGTTTGGTCGCTAAGTCGTGTCCAACTGTTTGTGACCCCATGAAATATAGCCCGCCAGGCTCCTCTGTCCATGGGATTTCCCAGGTAAGAATATTGGAGTGGGTTGCCATGCTCTCCTCCAGGGGATCTTCCTGACCCAGGGATCTAACCCAGGTCTTCTGCATTGGCAGGTTCATATTTTACACTGAGCCACCAGGGAAACCTGGGGATTGTATAATAATTCATTCTTTTGGTCAAATTTTTGGCCAGTTTTTGTGTCAAATCTTTCAGTCAGTTTATGTTATAAAGCACTATGAACTATATATAGTCACCACGCTGTATAGTGCACCCCATTTTTTGCTTTTTCATTGTCACTTTTCTTACTGAATGAATTCAGTTATCACTTTAATATTCTCGATGTTTCAATCCTTGTTGTAAACCAAGAAGGAAAGTGAGAGTTCTGCAGCATCTTTAGTGATATTAATAATAAATAGCACTTTGTACATATTTACTTCTAGTTTAACAACTGTTATTTCTTATTGTTCCTTTTAGCCTTCTAATTAAATCTATTTGCAAAAGTTGCATCAGCTCTGGTCATAATTTGGAAGACATTCTTCTATACCATATTAAATATTGCCTTCATATTCTGTAAGTGTATTTGAGTCCATCTGTCTCAATATGAGATGAAATTTGGTACTGCCCCATCTCCTCATTGTAAGTGTCCTGTTATATTCTTTCATTTCCCCGTTTTGGCAATTTCAGCTTGAATTAGTGACCAATGCTAGTATCATTAAAATCTTACTCTTTAATGTGTTTTTATTAGTTAGTGGTAGATTTTCATTCAATTTTTTACCTACAGTTCCTCAGGAAGCAATGTATTTTACCTTATTTTGCTTCATAAGGTTAAGTATATGTATTATTCCATAAGTTTTTATTTATGGAATATGTATTTTTTATTCCTTAAGTTTTTAGTTTCCTTTAAAAACACCTTTCAAAAATATGCACTTATACATATTCACATACTTTTATACAAGGTATAAATATAATCCTAAATACATCATTAAATTTTCTTTATGTTTTACTGATAAATGGCCATTATGTTTAATGTTTTTCTACAATTTATCCACTTTTGTTTATTTCTCAGCGACAACTCAGGGCCTTGTTGCTAAACAACTAGTAATAATGCTGGCTCATTATTTTAATGTCCGTATAAATTCCATGGTGTGGCTGTGTGACTCATACAGTCAATGGTCTGTATCATTATTTAGCAATAAGGACTATCATATTACTGCTACAAAATTTGAGATTGTTAATTTAACATTGCACTTCTAAGCCAAGGGTAACTGTCCCTCAGGGGACATTGAGCAATATCAGTAGACATTTTTTTGCTGTCACACGGATGAAAGGCAGGTGGTGGGCAAGGATGCTTCTAAACATCCTACAATGTACAAGACAGACCCTATCACAGAGAAGGACCTGGCAGAGACTATCCAGTAGTGCAGAGATGGAGGAACCCTGAGTTAAAGAATATTTGTGTTTCTATTATCAATAGCTATCTTAGGTGGTTTCCACAATGTTCTCCACTTCATATGTCTGCCAGTGAAATTAGAGAGTTCCCCTTATGTTTGTAATACTTGTTTAAAAGTTTCAACCTCAATCAACATTAAGTTTTTTCCTAGGCTGAAGGTCATGAATTAGATATCTTCCTGTTTATTAAACTAGTACTCACTTTGAGCCAAGATTCATAGATTCAATCAGCAAGCCATTTCTTATTATTACCATATGTCTAAATATACTTTATACCTTCTTCTCAACAGTTAACTGCATTTCCAATGATTTTTACAAAATATTGTTCTGAGACTGATTTTGGGGTGGGTATTTTTGACCATAAAATATTTAAAATTTTTACATCGTTAAATTTGTTTTTCTTCTTACTTCTGATTTTCTCCCCTTGATAATAATATTTTCTCACCTGTAGATTTTGTGTGTGGTTTTATATGATCATCTGAAATGGACTATTCGCTATTACAGGTACTTTTGTCTCTGTTAAAAAGATGCATTAAATAGGAAACCACTTCATTTCCTTCCAGATAGGTGGTTATTTATTCCGGCTTTTATTCAACAATCCAGTCTTTCAATCAAATTGAAGTGCAACCTTTCCATATGGTAGTGTTCATATCTAAGGGGATCTAATTCCTAATCATTCAACAAATATTAGCAATACATCTGCTACTTGCTAGAAATTCCTGGGTAGATTATATATTAGATTATCTTGAGTCAAGGTCTTTTATAAATTAGTTATTAATGATGAATCATTAATCATTATTAATTATTATTGTGATTGTTCTGTTACTGCTAAAAACTGAATGGAACATCAAAAATTGATTGAAACATAATGGTTTTGATGTTCCATTCAGTTTTGTTTAATGCACTTATATGAAATCACTCTTAACTGGTTTAACATTTTTGCCATTCTTTCTATTCACAATTTATAATTTTCTTAACTGTGTTTTTAAAATAAATGCACATGTATTCATGTGCATATGGGAAAATAAGAAGTAAACAAGGGAGCTGAAATCACTGATGCTTAGGATCTTGCATTATAGAGACAGTGTCACAGTATACTGAAATAAAACAGTGTCCTTAGACTTAAATCATGTGAAGAAATTTATCCAGAATAAGAGAATGAATTCTCATGATGTCATGGACTCACAGAGTATGGTCTGGAAAGGTCTTTGCATGCTGTCTAAAATCAGAACTGGAATTAGGATGTTCCCAGTGGATTTACAAAAAAAATTAAAAACATTAAGCCCAAGAATGACAAATAAAATATATCTCATAAGAAAACAGAGATAAGGGCACTTCCCTGGCTGCCCAGTGGTTAGGACTTTGCCTTCCAGTGCAGGGGGTGTGGGCCGATCCCTGGTTGGGAAGCTAAGATCCCACATGTCTCACAGCTAAAGACCTAGATAATAAAACAGGTGCAATAATGTAACACTTTCAATAAAGACTTTTAAAATGGTCCACATTAAAACAAAACAAACAAACAAACAAAAAAACAGAGACAGGGCAAGTCGGTATGGTTTTTCACACCCTCCAGATACCGCTGCTTCTGTCTTTGGAAAAGAGGTATTTTTCTTTCTGATCTTTCCTGGGTATCAAGGCATATATAGCTGAAGCTGAAATGTTGCCAAACCAAGAACGCTTTTCTTCATCCCATTGTCTCAGGGGCCGTTTGAGCTTGTTAGATCTTTCCCCTTCATTTTCTCTCTCTCTCTCTCCCATGCTTTTTATATTTATTTAAATATAGGGCAGAAAGTCATTGTAGCTAAAAGGAACCTCAACTGTATTATTTGCTCAGTAGCTTGTGAACTGGAATTTCTGGGTACTATTTAAACATTCTTTAGGAGAAAGTTAATCTGATCTGGCCAGCTTGAGGTGTCACCACCCATGGCTTAAAGAAGGTGGTGCTGGGTGAGAAATTCATGACAATAACACAGCCCAGGTGGCTACGGTGTGTGTGTACACTTGTGCCTTGTGGAGTGAGAGCAGTTGTTAAAGCAAAGGCACCTGCACTCACACATTAAGGTGGCGTAATAAGGTGACAGAGGCCAAAACTCCATCAGAGATGGTGCTAAGAAGACGATCTGATATAATTTGCAGGATTCCTTTGCAACTAAATCCATAAGTTCTGGGAACAACATGAAAGGAGGGATTCTCTATGGACTGAAGTTTCGGCTGTAGCAGGGAAGCCACCTTGTTCCTCAACATCCTTGACATCATCTCTAACCACTCCCCCTCCTGCTTATTCCTCCATCCCACCTGCTTCCTTGTTTGCATTTGAACATGTGATCAGCTTCTTCCTTTGGTTACTCTGCAGTGGCTGTGCCCTCTGCCAGGGACACACTTCTGCTGGTATCATGCTAGGACTTTCTTTTTATTGATGTCTCTTCATAGAACCCCTTGTTTGTAAGCCTTGCCCGAATACTTGGTACAAAATAATATTCCTACTAAATTCTCTTTTATACATGTTTTTGTTTTCTTCATAACACCTGTCACCTTCTAACACATTCTATATTTATTTGGGTATCATCTTTCACAACCTTTGGATTGTGAGATATTTGTTTTTAAGTGTCTCTATTTATCCCCTATATGTATTTGGAACATGTTGACTGTCAGCATAATGATTCTCAAATGCATATAAGACTTTCTCATTAAAACTGTAAATGCATGAAATCCTTGGAAATATGCTAAGAATGAGACAAAAAGTATCTAATTAGAGGTAAAATGTAGTATACCTTCAAGGAGAATTTATCTATGTACAACTTATTAACATCAATTTCTTGCCAGCAAAATAGAAATTACAGAAGTTCAGCTATGTGAGTTACACCTGTTTGAAAATTATTCATGCTATTTTCTTTTTTCCCAGTAATCACTTCCATCACATGGCATCAGGGAACAAGACGCAAATATCAGAATTTCTCCTTCTGGGACTTTCAGAGGAGCCAGCATTGCAGCCCCTTATATTTGGGCTTTTCCTCTTCATGTATCTGATCACTGTGATTGGAAACCTGCTCATCATCCTGGCTGTCCGTTCAGATCCCCACCTCCACACACCCATGTACTTCTTCCTCTCTAACCTGTCCTTTGTAGACATCTGTTTTACGTCCAGCATCATCCCAAAGATGCTATGGAACATCCAGACACAGAGCAAAGCCATCACTTATGAAGGCTGCATCATCCAGGTGTACTTTTACTTACTCTTTGCAGCATTAGATGACTTTCTCCTGACCGTGATGGCCTATGACCGCTTCGTGGCCATCTGTCACCCCCTGCGCTACACGGTCATCATGAACCCCCGGCTCTGTGCGCTGCTGGTGCTGGTGTCCTGGATCCTGAGTGCCCTCTTTCCCCTGTTACACAGCTTAATGGTGTTGCGACTGTCCTTCTGCTCAGACTTGGAAATCCACCACTTTTTCTGTGAAATCACATGGCTGATCAGACTGGCCTGTTCTGACCCCTTTCTCAATAACATGGTGGTGTATTTTGGATCTGTAATTCTCGGAGGTGTTCCCCTGGCTGGTATCCTTTACTCTTACTCTAAGATAGTGGCCTCTATCTGTGGAATCTCATCTGCTCAGGGGCAGTATAAAGCATTCTCCACCTGTGCATCTCACCTCTTGGTTGTCTCCTTATTTTATTGTTCAGCCTTAGGAGTGTATCTTAGCTTCACTGCTACCTACAGCTCACACACGAGTGCTATAGTATCAGTGATGTACACTGTGGTCACACCCATGCTGAATCCCTTCATCTACAGTCTAAGAAACAAAGACATAAAGAGGGCTCTAAAAAGATTTTTTGGGATGGAAATGTTTGTAAAAGGGCCATTTGCCCTTGGGCTGAAGAACTGCCCATGATAGCAGGGTCAAAGCCTCATAGGGGGATACATGATTCTTTGATTAGACTGTGATAATAGCAATTGCTTCTTCAGTTTATAGCCTGGTATTTCCATTTCTTCGATTTCACCTTCTCTATACAATTTTAAAAGCATCCTTCTTAACTTTTCTGATCCCTATCCTCTAAGATTTTTCCCTTACTATTTTTCTACTCTCTGAAATTGATTCAAAACCATGTGTAAAACATATGTAAACTCCTATTTATCTCATGATGCTTCACACATTTCTTAAGAATAAATTATTCTCAAGTGATATACTTTATATTGAGTAATTTTCCTTTCTTTTTGCTAAAAGAATAATTATGAATTGTGCTACTTCTGTGGGGAAAAAAAACTAACTTGGAAACCAAACCAATCACATAATTTTATGAAGGTAAAATATGAAACTGCAGTTTATCATGCTTCAGTTTTTCATACCTTGGAGCATCACTACCATAATTGCTTTTTCTGAAAATGTAGATGTTAACAGAGTATTTCATAAATGGTTGTCTGATTTTACTCCCTCAAAGGGGACAATCTTCTTCTTCTTCTTTTTTTTTTATTGTAGTGGTTTTTGCCATGCATTGATGTGAATCAGCCATGAATTTACATGTGTTCCCCATCCTGAACCCCCCTCCCAACTCCCTCCCCATCCCATCTCTCTGGGTCATCCCAGCGCACAGCCCCAAGCACTTGTCTCATGCATCTAGCCTGGACTGGCGATGTTTCACACTTGGTAATATACATGTTTCGATGCTGTTCTCTCAGATCATCCCACCCTTGCCTTCTCCCATAGAGTCCAAAAGTCTGTTCTGTACATCTGTGTCTCTTTTTCTGTCTTGCATATAGGGTTATTGCTACCATCTTTCTAAATTCCATATATATGCATTAGTACACTGTATTGATGTTTATCTTCTGGCTTACTTCACTCTGTATAATGGGTTCCAGTTTCATCCGTCTCATTAGAACTGATTCAAATGTATTCTTTTTAATAACTGAGTAATAGTCCATTGTGTATATGTACTACAGCTTTCTTATCCATTCGTCTGCTGAGAGGCATCTAGGTTGCTTCCATGTCCTGGCTATTATAAATAGTGTTGCGATGAACATCGGGGTGCACATGTCTCTTTCAGATCTGGTTTCCTCAGTGTGAATGCCCAAGAGTGGGATTGCTGGCTCATATAGTTCTATTTCCAGTTTTTTTAAGGAATCTACACACTGTTCTCCATAGTGGCTGTACTAGTTTGCATTCCCACCAACAGTGTAAGAGGGTTCCCTTTTCTCCACACCCTCTTCAGCATTTATTGCTTGTAGACTTTTGGATAGCAACCATTCTGACTGGCGTGTAATGGTACCTCATTGTGGTTTTGATTTGCATTTCTCTGATAATGAGTGATGTTGAGCATCTTTTCATGTGTTTGTTAGCCATCTGTATGTCTTCTTTGGAGAAATGTTTGTTTAGTTCTTTGGCCCATTTTTGGATTGGGTCATTTATTTTCCTGGAATTGAGCTTCAGGAGTTGCTTGTATATTTTTGAGATTAATTCTTTGTCTGTTTCTTCATTTGCTATTATTTTCTCCCATTCTGAAGGCTGTCTTTTCACCTTGTTTATAGTTTTCTTTGTCGTGCAAAAGCTTTTAATTTTCATTAGATCCCATTTGTTTATTTTTGCTTTTATTTCCAATATTCTGGGAGGTGGGTCATAGAGGATCCTGCTGTCATTTATGTCAGAGAGTGTTTTACCTATGTTCTCCTCTAGGAGTTTTATAGTTTCTGGTCTTACATTTAGATCTTTAATCCATTTTGAGTTTATTTTTGTGTATGGTGTTAGAAAGTGTTCTAGTTTCATTCTTTTACAGGTGGTTGACCAGTTTTCCCAGCACTTCTTGTTAAATAAGTTGTCTTTTTTCCATTGTATATTCTTGTTTCCTTTGTTGAAGAAAAATTGTCCATAGGTACATGGATTTATCTCTGGGCTTTCTATTCTGTTCCATTGATCTATATTTCTGTCTTTGTGCCAGTACCATACTGTCTTGATGACTGTGGCTTTGTGGTATAGCCTGAAGTCATGCAGGTTGATTCCTCCAGTTCCATTCTTCTTTCTCAAGATTGCTTTGGCTATTCGAGGTATTTTGTATTTCCATACAAATTGTGAAATTATTTGTTCTAGTTCTGTGAAGAATACCGTTGGTAGCTTGATAGGGATTGCATTGAATCTATAGATTGCCTTGGGTAGTATACTCATTTTCACAATATTGATTCTTCCAATCCATGAGCATGGTATATTTCTCCATCTATTTGTGTCCTCTTTGATTTCTTTCATCACTGTTTTATAGTTTTCTATATATAGGTTTTTTGTTTCTTTAGGTAGATATACACCTAAGTATTTTATTCTTTTTGTTGCAATGGTGAATGGTATTGTTTCCTTAATTTCTCTTTCTGTTTTCTCTTTATTAGTATATAGGAATCCAAGGGATTTCTGTGTGTTAATTTTGTATCCTGCAGCTTTACTACATTCATTGATTATCTCTAGTAATTTTCTGGTAGCATCCTTAGGTTTGTCTATGTAGAGGATCATGTCATCTGCAAACAGTGAGAGTTTCACTTCTTCTTTTCCTATCTGGATTCTTTTTATTTCTTTTTCTGTTCTGATTGCTGTGGCCTAAACTTCAAAAACTATGTTGAATAGTAGTGGTGAGACTGAGCACTGTTGTCTTGTTCCTGACTTTAGGGGAAATGCTTTCAATATTTCACCATTGAGGGTAATGTTTGCTGTGGGTTTGTCATATATAGCTTTTATTATGTTGAGGTATGTTCCTTCTATTCCTGCTTTCTGGAGAGTTTTAATCATAAATGGATGTTCAATTTTGTCAAAGGCTTTTTCTGCATCTATTGAGATAATCATATGGTTTTTTACCTTTCAATTTGTTAATGTGGTGTATTACATTGATTGATTTGTGGATATTAAAGAATCCTTGCATTCCTGGGATAAAGCCCACTTGGTCATGATGTATGATCTTTTTAATATGTTGTTGGATTCTGTTTGCTAAAATTTTGTTAAGGATTTTTGCATCTATGTTCATTCGTGATATTGGCCTGTAGTTTTCTTTTTTTTGAGGCATCTTTGTCTGGTTTTGGAATTAGGGTGATGGTGGCCTCATAGAATGAGTTTGGAAGTTTATCTTCTGCAATTTTCTGGAAGAATTTGAGTAAGATAGGTGTTAGCTCTTCTCTAAATTTTTGGTAGAATTCAGCTGTGAAGCCATCTGGTCCTGGGCTTTTGTTTGCTGGAAGATTTCTGATTACAGTTTCGATTTCCGTGCTTGAGATGGGTCTGTTAAGATCTTCTGTTTCTTCCTGGTTCACTTTTGGGAAGTTATACTTTGCTAAGAATTTGTTCATTTCTTCCAAGTTGTCCATTTTATTGGCATAGAGCTGCTGGTAGTAGTCTCTTATGATCCTTTGTATTTCAGTGTTGTCTGTTGTGATCTCTCCATTTTCATTTCTAATTTTGTTAATTTGGTTCTTCTCCCTTTGTTTCTTAATGAGTCTTGCTAATGGTTTGTCAATTTTGTTTATTTTTTCAAAAAACCAGCTTTTAGCTTTGTTGATTTTTGCTATGGTCTCTTTAGTTTCTTTTGCATTTATTTCTGCCCTAATTTTTAAGATTTCTTTCCTTCTACTAACCTTGGGGTTCTTCATTTCTTCCTTCTTTAGTTGCTTTAGGTGTAGAGCTAGGTTATTTGTTTGACTTTTTTCTTGTTTCTTCATGTAAGCCTGTAATGCTATGAATCTTCCCCTTAGCACTGTTTTTACAGTGTCCCATATGTGTGGGGTTGTGTTTTCATTTTCATTTGTTTTTATGCTATGCATATTTTATTTCTTTTTTATTTCTTCTATGATTCCGTTGTTATTCAGAAGCATATTATTTAGCCTCCATATGTTTGAATTTTTAATAGTTTTTCCCCTGTAATTGAGATCTAGTTTTACTGCATTGTGGTCAGAAAAGATGACTGGAATGATTTCAATTTTTTTGAATTTACCAAGGCTAGATTTATGGCCCAGGATGTGATCTATTCTGGAGAAAAAGGAGAAGTTGATTGTTTTGGTGTGAAATGCCCTATAGATATAATTACGTCTAGCTGGTCCATTGTGTCATTTAAAGTTTATATTTCCCTGTTAATTTCCTGTTTAGTTGACCCATGTTTTGAGGTGGATCTCTTGTAGACAGCTTATATAGGGGTCTTGTTTCTGTATCCTTTCAGCCAGTCTTTGTCTTTTGGTTGGGGCGTTCAGCACATTTCCATTTAAGGTAATTATTGATAGTTATGGTCCCGTTGCCATTTGCTTTGTTGTTTTGGGTTCGCGTTCATACAACCTTTCTGTGTTTCCTGTCTAGAGAAGATCCTTTAGTATTTGTTGAAGAGCTGGTTTGATGGTGCTGAATTCTCTCAGCTTTTGCTTCTCTGTAAAGCTTTTGAATTCTCCTTCATATCTGAATGAGATCCTTGCTGGGTAGAGTAATCTAGGTTGTAGGTTATTCTCTTTCATTACTTTAAGTATGTCCTGCCATTCCCTTCTGGCCTGAAGAGTTTCTATTGAAAGATCAGCTGTTATCCTTATGGAAATCCCTTTGTGTGTTGTTTGTTGTTTCTCCCTTGCTGCTTTTAATATTTGTTCTTTGTGTTTGATCTTTGTTAATTTGATTAATATGTGTCTTGGGGTGTTTTGCCTTGGGTTTATCCTGTTTGGGACTCTCTGGGTTCCTTGGACCTGTGTGACTATTTCCTTCCCCATTTTAGGGAAGTTTTCAGCTATTATCTCCTCGAGGTTTTTCTCATGGCCTTTCTTTTCGTCTTCTTCTTATGGGACTCCGAATGTTGGGGCATTTCACATTGTCCCAGAGGTCCCTAAAGTTGTCATCATTTCTTTTTATTCTTTTTTCTTTTTTCCTCTCTGCTTCATTTATTTCCACCATTTTAT